TTCTTTTCTTTTCTTTTCTTTTCTTTTCTTTTCTTTTCTTTTCTTTTTTCTTTTCTTTTTTTTTTAACACTGATGAACTGAGGCTCTCTTTTTTTTCCTTGGTACACATGTCATTATCATCGCAATTATCATCATCATCATTGTGATCATCGTCATCATTGTGATCATCATTATCTGCTTCCAGGATTTTTAGCTGCATTTGCAAGATTTGACAATCATATTGGAAAGCTGTTCAATCTTGGGTGTTTTGCCTACGTAGTAGAGGATGGTGAGAGGTTCTAAATCCTGGGATACACAGCAAGGAGACGCAGATGCTTCTGGGTTTATGGTGTTGTATAAGCTGAGAACCTGTAAGGGGAAAAAGTAGTTGTGAGAAAATGAAATGGGAAGAGGAAAGGATGAAGAGGATTAGCTGATGGTGTAGAGAAATAACAAATTGCTCTATTGATAACCCAAACAATTGATTAAGGAGTCTTATCTTGACTGAGAGTTCTAAGTTTCACAATTTTCTCCCCCTTGTCATTCCGTCTACACCCATATTAGGCTGAATCTATATGCAAAGAGTGAACGGGCCACTTTTCACTCAACATTTTTGGTGGTCATCTCAGTAATTTGTTTCTGCAATACTGGTCAGGATGAACAAAACCAATAAATCAGTGATTTTCCCATCTCTCTTCGAGAAGCTTTCCTTCATTAAACTTGGTCTTCTTACCATGATCACTCTTCTTTTGTAAAACCCCTCAGCACTTACTGATAATGATGGTGCAAAAGCTTACATTTGGTTCTAAGCTTCTTTATAATTGCAATCTTTTTCTTCCATGTTCATACATTTTGTCTTCCCACCTACATTATGAACTTCTGGAGGGTAATGACTGTGTCTAGCTTTCATAATCTCTTCTTCCTAGAGTAGGGTGCTCTCTGTTACATAGCATAAGCACTAGTGTTTATGGAATGAATAAATATATCCTCTTTGTCACAGCTTTATATGACAGAATTTTAAGTCACTTTTGGATACAGAGCGGAACCCCTTTCTTCAGGGTGGGAATACTACCAGGACAAGGCAGCATGGCATTATGAATGAAAACTGAATTCAACATCCTAGGCTCTGAGTTCCAAAGCCAGCACTGTTATTATCTGTGTGACCTGGGGCTGATCTTTGAAAATCTGCGGACTTCACTTAGAAAACTAAAGGGCTGGACCAGATGGTCTCTATACTCAAAATCCTCTGAAGGCTTCCTGTCAAATGAATTGTGTGATCTAATTTCTAATTTCAGTTTACTCTTAAGTTCCAGAGAGAAATTTCCTTCGGTTTACCCTTATTTTCAGAAAAGAAATGACTTCAGAACAGAAATGACTGTACATCAAGGGAAGAACAGGAGGGCCCCTTACTGCTTAGGTTTTCTTTTCTTTTCTTTCCTATTTTTTACTTTAAAATCACATCAATTTAGGCTTCTATGTTGCAATGGGGAAGGGAAGGGAAAGGAAGGGAAGGGAACAGAAGGGAACAGAAAAGAACAGAAGGGAACAGAGGGGAAGAGAGACTAGAAAGCTAGCCATGAAATCAAATGAATGTCCAATTTCTACATATTTTAATACTATACTTTTAATCCCACATTATATTCACCTGGACATTTACCAAGAGAAGTCTATAGGTTACCTACTGGTGATATATGGGTATTTCCAAGAATACCATTAATGTGTTAGGTTAAACACTAACTGGCCTTTTCTTCAAAGATTCTATGTAGCTTTTTAGCCTCAGACAGAAATTCTGTTCAGCCCAGCAACCCTAGCTACTTCCTACTTCACTACATTCTCTCTGGCTTCTTGGGGAACTGTCCAAACCACATATTTGTGACCATGACAGTTTATTTTTCCTTTCTCCTTAAAAAACGAGCACAACTCCCAATTTCCCACACTGTGTATATGTATCAAGGAGACGAACAATGTCTTTCCTTGGCAACTTGGACTAGCCTAAATTGCTGTTACTGCTGCCCTGATGGAATAGCCTATCCGTCCAAAGAGAGCCCAGACAAAGGGAAGGGAACGTATGAGAATCTCTCTTGAGACTGACGATTCAATTACCTTGGAGTGTCAAATCGATTTGATATAATAATCATAGCACAAATAGTAAGTACCTGAGCAGGATTTGAATTCAGGTCTTTCTGACTCTAAGTCAGGTACTATGTCCTTGTACGACTTCAAATGTCAATATAATGTTTCAGAACACAGATGAAGGAATGCAAGTCATGTTTGTTTGTCTGATGTCAGATAGATATAGATACTTTAAAATTATTTCAGATATCATCAAGAACTGATGTTGTGTGCTCTTGGATATGACTAGGACAGATCACTCTAAGCACAGGGAAACTCTATAGACTCATATTTCACTTCTGGATAAATTATGTGTGTTTTCTGGCAGCAAATTCATCCTCCTGTTTAGTACTATAGGAGATTCCTATAACATCTCTTAAGCAAGAAGAACTACAAAGGTAATACATGTCAAACAATAATAATAATAGCACTTTAATAACTTTCAAGGTTTGCAAAGCACATGACATGCATGATCCCTTTCAAGTTTCTTGACAACCTTGTAAGTCAGGTGATCCTCATTTCACAGACAAGGAAATTGAGTTTCAGAGGTTAAGTGGATTCACTAAAGTCACACAGCTAGTGACAGAAGCTGGCTCTGAACTAAGGTGCTCTTGTCATCTACAAGTCTAGCCCTCATGTCTACTACACCATGCTGTATTGTCTGATCTAGCTATCCCAGAAGCTGGCAGGTTCCAGACTTGAAGACCTGAACAGGATGATATAAAGGAGAAAGAAAAAAGCACAGGGCTGCAAGTTAAGAGATTTGGCACTGCCCCAATCTAATGATTCAATCTTGGACAAATCACCTAAACTCAATAACTTCAGTTTTCTCTTCTGTAAAATGGAAAAAAAAAATCTGAATTAATTGACCTTTGCCAACCAGTCTAGCTTATAATTTCTTTGCTTCTTAGAATCAAATGAGATAACATAGGCACAATGCTTTGCAAACCTTAAAGAGCTACATAAATGTTAGCTACTATCATTATTATTCCTAGGCACAGGCAAGTATAATGGAGGATCAAGAGGCTTTCTTAAGTATAGACAGCAAAGACAAGGCTGTAGATTAGAATCCATAGGACCTAATCTGTTTCCCCACCCTTCCTTCCCCCAAACCAACTATCTGTCCAGAGATAGTAAGCATAGTGGCTAGAATTATTAGACCTCTAGTTAGAAAACCCTGAGTTAAAATCTTACCTATGACATTTATAAACTGTGTGACCCTGAATAAGTTATTTAATCTCTCTGAACCTCAGTTGTCTCATCTATAAAATGGTGATAATAATACTTGCAGTACCTACCCTCACTGGTTTATTGTGATAATCTACACAGAGTGTCCCAAAAGTCTTAGTTCAGTTTTAAGCTATTAAAGCTTAAACCTATTTAAAATATAATAGTCTCAAAAGTCTTGGTTCAGTTTTAAGCTTTCTTAAAACTATTTAAAATATGAATAATAGTCTCAAATATAAAGTTTTAGTTAAGTTTTAAGCTATTAAGGCTTACAAAACTTTTGAGACTGTTATTGTTATTCAGGTTTAATAACTTAAAACTGAAGACTTTTGGAACACCCTGCATAAAGCCCTTTGAAAACTTTAAAATCATAAACAAATGTCATTTGTTATTATCTTGACTTAAGTAACTAGAAAACTGATAAATCCCCACTTTACTTTGGTCTGTGCAGAAATCTAGAAATGAAAACATTTAACAAATTACCATGAGGACAAGTTACCATCCAGTTTTCAAGTAACAAATCTGTTTCCTCTCATTGTTTTTGTATGTTAACAACATGTCATTCAATCACTCATTCATTCAAAAATTATTTTGGGGGTACCTGCTATATGTAGGAGAATCCTGAGAGTCCTCACCCTCAGGGAGCTTGCAAACTATTTGGGAAGACAAGCCCTATGTACCTTTTCAAAGGCAGAAAATGACCAAGTGAACTCATACTGATTTCTCATTTACCAAAGTTTTCACAACTTTCTCCCCTATGTAGCAGATTCCTCCAGCATCCATCCATGAACAGTAATATACCAAGTGCCACACTGTAATGTGTGTGAATGAATAGTAATGTACCACTGCCACACAGAAATCATTTGGAAATGCCATCACCATGTGAGTCTAAACACTATGCCAATGATGTCAAAATCAAATAGAAATGGGGGTCACTAAACCGTACGTAAGGATGCCTGCAGGACATATATTGACTTAGAAACCACATATCAACATTAACTATGTTCTATTGTTTTATTTATTTTGTTAAATATTTCCAAATCACATGTTAATCAAGTTTGGGCACACTTGAGAATACTACAGGTCAAGAGTTTGACACCTCTGCTACGGACTTTCAATAGCTTTACAAGCAAGTATTAAAGTTAGTGAAATACTTACTCTACTATGCTGAGTATCTGAACTCCACAGATATGGGCAGGCACCAGCACAGAAATTAGCATTGTACCCCTTGGGTTCATGAATCCATTTCCATCCAAGGTCCCTCTTGAAATCAATATAAAGTGGACGCAGGCAACAGTTATCCTGTACATTCCTGTTGAGAGAAAAAGAGTAGACAATGTTATTAGAATAAAAAACAGAACCACAGGCCTTTAGGGTTTTGCTATAATCTAGAGTGATGTTAGGACAGAATAGTGATTTACTATGCTTTATGCTTTGAGCCCTAAATCTGACTAATCTAAACCCTGGCCAGGATGATCAAACTTTTATTCTCAATTTCCTTGTCAAACAATAGTAGAGACAAAGTTGGGAAAGACCAAATTCTCTACAATTCTGCACAAAGGCAATTTTGCAATTAGGTCAAGCACTTATCATGTGCCTACTAGGCATCAGGCTCTATACTAGTCACTAGGTATATAAATACAAAGAGATGGTCTCTACCCTAATTTCTATCAGATCCTATCATTTTAAAGAATTTTAGATGCCTTAACACCAGAAGAGACTTCAAAGATCTTCAAGGTCAGGGGTTCTTTAACACTTCTGTGTCATAGACCCCCTTGGCAGTTTAGAGAGGTCTACAGACCTCTTCTCAAAATTATGCTTTTAAATGCATAAAATACATACATGGAATTACAAATGACACTAATTATATTGAAATATAGTTCTCAAAATAGGTTTTCAAACTCAAGTTTACAGAGCCCAGGTTGAGAACCCCTGATTTAGTACAACCTTCTTATCTTACAGGTGAGGAAACCGAGATTGGGAGATGAAAAAACTTGTCTATGTCCACACATGTAATAAACAGGAATAGCATGAAGGACAAATGTTGTCCCAGTGAAACTTTCTGGGGACAAAGAATCTTAGTGTAGGTGTGTGCTGCCAAAGATGTGTGCATCACTGGAGAGGAAGATTGGTCTATATCTCAGCTGGTATAGGTGGCATCTTTAGTAATCACAGTGTCAAATGAAATGAAATGGTTCTAAACCAAGGATCATAGTATTTATTGTGATGAGCAGGAATGAGAAATAGTTGTGAACAAATAGTAGGAACTCTAGGTATACTGTAGATCAGGGGTGGGGAACCTGTGGCCTTCTAGATCCTTAAGTGCAGCCTGAATCCAAATTTTACAGAACAAATCTTTAAGCTTAAGGATCTAGAAGGCCACATGTGGCCTCAAGGCCACAGGTTCCCTATCGCTTCTCTAGATATACTCTTAAAGCATACTTGGACCAGATATTCCTCTTTCTAGTGGCTGTGGCATGGATCACAATAGATTCAGGTCTTATCCCTATTTCTTTGGTGGTGTTGACTAGGATGATAATCATCCTGTCTCTTCCTAGCCTGAGTTTGAAGGAACACATGATTTTTATCCTGCCCCCTTCCCTTTCCATGTTCTCTGCTCTGGCCTTAATGAGGCAGCAAGAAGGACATAGTTTGGCTAAACCCAACTACATATGTGTTGCCTTGGGTAAGTTACTTCTCTGAGTCCTAGGTTCCTCATTTGTAAAATAAGGGAGTTAAATTAGATGATTCTATTTCTAAAGTCCCTTTTAGCTCTTACATTCTGTTACTAGAAACATCTAGGGCTAATCTTTAAAAACAAACAAACAAACAAACAAACAAGCATTTACATGTCAGGCACTGTGCTAAGTCTTTTACAAATATTATTTAATTTTATGCTTACAACAACACTGGGTGATATGTGCAGATGAGAAAACTGAGACATAAAGAGGTTAAGTGACTTGCCCAGGATCACATAACTAATAAGTGTCTGAATCTGCTTTGAACTCAGGTCTTCCTGACTCCAAGCCCAAGGCTCTATCCACCATGCCCCTAGCTGCCTACAGAGTGGCAATAGGAAGAAAGCCTATTCTCTCTTCAACAAGGGATGAATCTGTGAGAGCATTTTAAAGTAGGATTTTCTACTTTCCACATCAGAAAGCATGGCTAGCAACCTCCTATATGCAAAGGAGGAAAAGAGAATATAACATTTACTTGGAGCTATTTAGAAGAAAGTTAATAATAAGACATTATTCCCTTCACCTGGGGCTAAGAAGTAGCCCAGAGTAAGCCAGGAGTAACATTCTGTTCAACAAATGGAAAAAGCCATTCAAAAGGTAAAAGAAGAAATGATTTTATTTGATTTTTTGTTTTGTTTTGTTTACCTAAAACAATAGGCCGCATCTAGAGCGCGCTTCTTCCGCCGGCTGGACTGTTGCGACTCAAGTCTGTAGGAGGGTAACAACATTAGCAGGAGATGTGGGGTCTTCCCACTGTTTTTTTTCCTAGTGGACTTTATAGTTTTCAGATCACTGAAGGAGCCATCAATACCTTAAAAAAATGCATTTGGGTAATAAATATTTAGCTTTTATCTTCATCAATTATAATCAACCATCTTTATCTCTTTGATCATTGTCACAGACAGTAGGGAGGATGATGAAATTGACAGCAGGGTGCTATGCTTGCCACCCACTGAGATGGATGCCATGCAATAGGCCTTGTCATGGACATAGTCACCAACTAATTTTCTAAATAAGTTGTTTTTTTGTTTTGTTTCCCTTAAATTAATTTCTCCTCAAATGGAACTTCAGTGACATGAGCAGTAAGAATTAGAGGGAGAAGTAATCATATAGTAAGTCCTTATCCCGCAAATCAAGAGTAACCTCCCAAGTTTAGCTCAGTCAGTATCCACCTGGGCTGGTCTCAGTTCTTTCCTGGACAAAAGCATGGTGGTCCACCATGCCTGGAAGCCCATGCCTGTCACATTCCTCCCCAGACTACCAAACCAGGAACATTCTCCAGCAGAACACAAAGTAAGCCTTACACTGAGCAAGTTTAGTACAAATAAAACAGAAGTCACCCTCACCTAGCGCTATTTTGGAAGATGGTGAAGAAAAGGCTTTTTCATCAACTTTATGGCATCCTCAGCACTTTCCTGATTCTCTCTAAGACTCAGAAACCTGAGCTCCCAGAAGCACAATCAAGAGATTGCTGGTTTAATTGTTTAATCTCAATATTTGCAAGAATCATGACTAAGTTGAATACTGACAGAAATCTCAAGGCCTTCATAAAGGAAGAGATTTTTCCATTAGTTAGGGCCACATGTGATCTTTCAAAAGAGTCATGGGAGGTTGGTCAGGGTGGTTCATGAAGGGACAGTGACTCTTAAAGAAAGCATGCCACATGATCTTGGTCTTGGATTTATGCAGTGGTAGTTTAGATCATGTCTGAGGGTTACTGGCAACTCTTGCATTCAAAGCCCAATTACTGAATCCCTATCAGGAGGTGGACAGAGAGAGGAAAGGAGACTGAAACAAGTCATCTTTATAACTTAATGTAAACTCTTGTAAATGTTATGTGAGAAAGAACTTTGAGGCCTAAGTACATCCACGGCCGTGCTTTCAAGCTCAAAAAAGACAAGAGGATATCCAGCATTCTCTCCTTTCTGATATTCAATTTGGAATTTAAACTTGTGCCACTGTCCTCGAGCTAACAGCTAAAACAAGTTTTGAGACTGTGAATTTTTGTCAGTGTGTGCCATCCCCTTTCTGATTGTACAGATAACAGAGAGCAGGCTGTATCACTGAAAGGATTTTCTTGTTGAACTCAAAGAAAAATAACATGTTTCAGCCAGCTATTCAGTGAAGTATTAACTGAGCATCTATAGAGCATGGAGTTTGGGTACTAGGTGTTTTTCAATAATGCCTCCCTTTCTTCCTAAACCCTCATGCCCACAGCCAGCCCCACCCTTGCCTAGTAAGTGAAATTTATTCTTGCCCCATTTTGCATTTTCCCCTCTGTAGCATGACTTTTCCTGAACAAAATTCTAACCACCATCCCTACCTCAGAAGACAAAAAGCTCCAGTAAGTTACCTGCAAATCTTGCTTCTAATTCTTCACTTTTATTCGGGATGATGTAATTATTGGATGGTACAAAAGTGCAGCATGGGCAGTGTAAACTTATCTTAAATCCCAGGTTCCTGTCTGGAAAACATGAAGTCAGGGAAGTCATTCTTTTTCCCCCTTAACAACTCAGTCACCAAACATCTACCAAGGAAAGCAAAAGGCTGGTGGGTAACCTTTATGGTGCAGCCATTCATGCACGGCTTCGGTGACATCAAACGAGAGCCATTCCCCTTCTGCTCTTGTCTTAACAACTTTGCTATCAATGTAGCGCTGGGTTGGGGATGTTAAGTCTTTGGATTTGAGAATCTGGAAGAAAAGAAAAAGTAGGATGGAAAATAAAGAATTGGTATATATTAACCAAAACCTAACTGAAAATATTAGCTCCTCTCATGGGAACAGGATTTCAACTTACCATCTAAATTTCAAGGAATCAGAACTGAGGAACAAAGTATTATAGAATTAGAGAGGGAAGGTACCTCAAAGGCCATCCAGGCCATTCCTCCCCACCCTTGTTCTATTTTTTACAAATGAGGCCCAGGGAAGTTAAGTGACTTCCCAAATATCACACAGGTACAAGTGTTTCTGAGGTGGGATATGAACCTTGTCAGCCTTTAGAATAATCCAAACCTGAAAAGCATCCTCATTGTGTCACACACAACTAAGGGTTTTCCAGAATCTCCCTGAAGTCATCCAATGAGGGGGAACCCACTTGCTGTCCAAGAAGCCCATTCCACTTTATGTTAGGAAGTTTGTCCTGACATTTAGTCTAAATTTTCTTCTGTTGCTCTTGGTTCCATCCTCTGGAGCCACTCAGAACAAGCCTGATCCCATTTCTGCATGACAACCCCTCAAATTCTTGAAACCAGCTGTTATATCCCCTCTATGTCTTCTTTTCTCCAAGCTGAAATTAGCTAGTTCCTTCAACTGTTCTCCTGTGACACAGACTTGAGGTCATCACCATCCAGATTGCCCTCTGGTAAATAATCTCTGGGTTATCAATGTCCTTTTAGGTACTTGTGATTATCCACATATTGTTACCTGGCTCTATAACATGGTCATATACATAGAACTCATGGAACCAAGTTGTATTCTATGGGGAAAAAAAGGAGTACTGAAATCAGCTGCTTATTATGATAAAAAGTGACATGAATCATCCAGCCAAATGTGTAATAGAAAGTGACATTAATTATTTTATTTTTGCTGACACATGCTTTACAAGACTTCAGTCATAAAGTCAGTGCTATTAAGTTAATAGTTTTGTTGCTCCATAGATCTCAGTGCCATGTTTATTTAATTGGGGTGGAGTGGGGAGGGGGGAAGAGGGTAGGGCCCTGGGCCCTCCCTCCCTCAGCCTCCCATCATCTTTTTTTCTCTGAGTCTCTTTCTCTTTCTCACTCTCTCTTTTCTTCTTTCTTGTTCTCTCTTGCTCTCTGAAGGTCTTTGTTATAAATCTCCTGATAAAGAAACAGAGTTGTAACCCTAGCTCTTAACTCCACTGATCCTAAATTCCTTGGCATGCCACAACGTTCTAGGTAAGGATAACACTGGACTTCTGACTCCTAATAGGACTTAGTAGGATTTATAAAGACACCTCCTATCCCACAGGCTGGGAATGAGTCTGGGCAGAAGTAGTCAGGAGCAGGGTGTAGATGAGAGCTCCCAGGCAAATCTAACTCAATTACGCAAGACATCTTTAAGAGGTATTCATTTCAAACAAGTGAAAAACAGCAGCACTGTCTCCTTAGGTTTTTGAAAGAGGATCTACCCTTTTAAAATGCTTTCTGTTTCTCTGCCTTTGGTAAAAAATAGCACATGTGAACAGGTTGACCCAAAGCTTCCTGATGTTGACTACTGACCCACCAAAGCTCCTTTCTTCCAGAGTTTCACAGCATCTCTAGACGCAGGGTGGTACTATAGGACTTTGCCCTCTTAACGGGTGGCAAGAGGCAGTGGAAAGAGCCATGGACTAACTAGGCACTGAGAATCACAGATCTCTACTAACCAGCTCTGCTGGACTTAACACCAAACAGGTTTATCAAGTCATTTCAGGATAATGTGGGAAGGAAATCAGGACACTACTTTTCAATCATACTTACTACCTGGGTGACCATGTACATAATTCGATTTTATGAACTCTCTTGTCTTCAGTTACGTCATGTGTAAAACACAAGGGTAGGCTGGAGGAGATGATATCTAAAGTCTCTTTAAGCTTGAATATGTTATTATTTAGGACCCCATAGGATTTGATCTCTCTAACTAGATCATAAGTTTCTCAAAAGTTAAAGATCATATTTCTTCTCTTTCTTTTGTATCCCACCCCCTAATTTAACCCCTATACTTGTATACAGCTAATGCTAGAGGAAATATTATAGGCATTACTTAAAAGTAGGAGAAATAAACAGTCTCTTGCCAACACATATCTGAACTATTGGGACTCCCAGTGCCTATCATCCAGCTAGAAATAAATGTAACTTGCCAGTCTAGTATGTGCCATAATTATGAACAATGAAGAAAATATCTCCAGGAATTTCTATTCCTGAGCTCCTAAAAACTCATCCTTAACCGTCCTTGACTAATGTCTCCTCAGCAATGATACCTAGAAACCCCTCTTATGGCTCTGAATCTATTAAATCTGATGTCCCTTCTGTGTTAATTCATGGTGCTTTGATATTTTTTTCTTTGAATTTTTTCTTTTAAAAAAATTTTGTTTCCACCCCACCCGTGATTTCATTGAAATAAGGAACTTCCAGGAAGGAAGTATCAGTGAAGATCAGCATCTGTTCTGCAACTTATAAGCTTAGGGTCCCATTCACTAAAGAGGTTAGGTGACTTGCCCAGGGTCATACAGGCAGATTTTGAACCCAGGTCTTCCTGACTCAGGGAAGTTCTTCAGGTACTACACCACACTGCTTCTCATTATGAATATATTCTTAAAGTTGTTTTGAAAAATTGTTTGCTGGGATAGAGGAGGATGTGCATGTGCCAAGCAAGACTCAATCAATAAACATTTATTAAATTCCTACAGTGTGCCAGGCACTGTGCAAGGGATATAAATGCAAAGAATAAAACAATACCTACTCACAAGGAATTGTCCTGTCTCCCTCATTAGAGTTTACTCAAAGGAACATAATTTTCTCTTTTTATCTTCCCATAGTGCTAAGAGGAGGGGACAGAACGCAGGCAGAAGATGTTCTCCCTGTATTTATGACTTAATTAATTAATTGGCTGTTTAGTTAATGCTTAATTAATTAGTTAATGATTGTTACTGTCTACTGACTTGAGCTCCACTGCAATGATTGTTCAGTCTCAGTGGTAGAAAACAAAACAAAACAAAACAAAGAATAAAACTCATAGATGTGGGTCCAAATGGCAGAGAGGCACAGGCTCGTGGGAAACTAAGAAAATCCTAGACCTGATGGAGATAGAGGAGAATCAAAATCATTATCTCATAAAATAGACCAAAGTTCTCAAAGGAGATCACTAGGATTTTTTTTTTAAGGCAATTAGGGTTAAGTGACTCGCCCAGGGTCACACCACTGGTAAGCATCTGAGACCAGAATTGAACTTGGGTCCTCCTGAGTCAGGGGCCTGTGCTCTATCCACTGCACCACCTAGCTGCCCCATTAGAGTCCTTTCTAAGCCATAGTCTATATCATACAGGTGAAGTCATGTAATCTACTAAAAACTACTGATCCCATAGCTGTTTCCTTACATCACAGAATGGGGAAGTAATCTTGAAATGTTATCTAATCTATGCCCCTAGGGCAGACCAGCACTTACATTTAGTCCAGAAATATTATTCCAACCCAATTCTTAATCAGGAAAGCTGACTCCCCTGCCTTTGTCGGTAGTTTACTACAATGTTATAACCCTCATGTCCAGAAGGTTGTTGCTAAATCCCCCTCCTCCCTGAAGTTCAAGCTCTTTCCCTCTTATCTGGTCCTCAGTGGAAACAGGAAACAGCTGCTCATCGTCCCTCACAGAATATCCCTTAGTATTCTTGGAGGCTATTATTAAGTCCTCCCCTTAGCCTACTCTCTCTAGGCTAAATAAACTGAGTTTCTTAAGTCTTTACGCACAGGGCCAATTTCCTAAACCTTTAATCATACAGGTTGCCCTCTAGAACAAAAGATTATATATATATAAAAAGCAGGCTTCCTACTCCTTCATGATTCTCTTTGACTGAGAGCTGGCCTGGAACCCACCCCATCGTGTCCCAAAGCTCAGAAATCTTAACTCTGAAGGCGTAGCCTTCTTTGAACACTCTGTTTATCCCCCTTGCCAAATTAGATCATTTTGTGCAGATCTGACCTTTTGTGGGAGAAAGGGTGGACACACTGACCTGATGTTATCTTCTTTTTAAAAGGTTAAGTAGATGTTTCTTCCACTCTAAAATTGATAGGAGAAGGGTCCAGAAGGCTTACTTTCTGATTTTCTTGAAGACTCCCTGCCCTATTCATCCATTAGACTTATTTTAAAGTATGAATGTCCTAGGTGGATAGCAGGGACCTCACCATTTCCAAAAGCAGGTTTCTTCCTAATTCTTTCTCATATATGTGTGTGTGTGTGTGTATACATGCATATGTGTTTGCATGTATATATAAACACACATATACAACATGTGTATGTGTACATATGTATGCATGTGTATATGAATATATGTATATGTGTGTATTATATGTGCATGTGTACACACATAAATATATACATGTAAACATTATATATGTGTGTACATACATACTATAGATAGATAGATAGATAGATAGATAGATAGATAGATAGATAGATAGATAGATAGATAGACAGACAGATATGCTTGAAAAAGACATTTCCAGGCTACTTAAAACTACAAAAACTTAAAACTAAAATCCGGTTGTTTCCCAACTTTGCTACCACCCACAATGATGGCAAATGTTTCATTTATTACATCACTGATATACATTAACATCAATATTGGAAGGCATGGAACTGGATCTGTGACTTCATTGGTGTAAGGTGTTCTCTGGTGAGGAACTTCCCTTGCCACTGCAGATCAGCACCTTCTCTGCCCCTGATAGTCTTGGGGAGCTGATTAATTAAGAGGTTAAATAATTTGCCTAAATTCATACATGTGTCAGAGGCAGGCCTCAGATCCAGATCTTTTGAGGCTGGCTCTCTGCACAACTGCCTCTGAAATACACAGACACATACATACACTCTCAAAAAATGTGAGAGGATCAAATGAGATAATGTATATGAACAATCTTGACAAACCATGAAATGCAAATATAGTCCTACCTTCTGAGAAACTGGCCTTCACCAGTTGC